CTCATTTTCAGTAACGTTTATGTAACAGCTAGGTTAAATTCACCAAAAAGGGGGCACTGGAGAAATTTTGCATTTCTATTTAAATGCCAAATTCATTTTGATATGTTCTTTATCATTTTGGACGTTTCAAGTAAAATTCAGAATTAAGCTAGTGTATAATTCGTTCTCCAAGGAAATATAAGCTAGTGATTGAATAACTTCCTTTTATATGTTTTGCGATTTCGTTTATGCGCTTATGGAGTTGCCGTTTCTCTAATTTTTTTTTTTTTTTTCTAATCGAAGATAAGGCAGCCAATTCAAGGAATGGGAATGACTGGTACACTCGGTACATCATCTTCAATGCGTCCAACGGGGGTACCTTCCCATCAGTTGAGGCCTTCACAGCCATCTCTAAGACCACCACAGACTGCCACAAGTAGTCAGCCTCCGTCTTCTCAGGTTGCTAACTTATTCGATATGAAATTTGTAATGAAAGTAAAACAAACTTATGCATTAATCATGTCAATTTTTTTTTCTATCAAGATTATGTTTTATAAAGAGCCTTGAAGGTTATGACCTCTGAATGTGTTGTAGTTTAAAACTTCAACAAGTAGGAAAGCATATGCAATGTTAACACTTGATCAACTCCTTCAACAAGGCAATATTCAAGCGAGATTTAGTTTTAAGTTGAAACGAGATTGCTTTTTGCTTTGCCACAGAGTGTACATGAACCTTTTTATAGTTGGAAAAATGCAATTATTTCTTCTCATTCTTGAATTTTTTTTAATCTTTGTTTAGATTTGGCTTATTATGTTTATTTATCATTGTTCTAATCAGAATTTTCAAGGACACGGCATGCTTAGAGTTTCCACTTTGGGGTCTCCCGCGTCACCATCACCTAGTAGTTCTCAAAGCCCACAAACCCAGACCCAAGGCCAAACCCAAACCCAAACCCAACCATGGTTATCTTCTGGAACCCAAGGAAGACCTCCCATTCCATCCCCATCACCTCGACCTCAACCGAGCTCTCAGCCATTTCAGCAAAGATCTCATGTTCCTCTGCAGAATCACCCGAACATTCCCACTAACCAACAACAGCCAATCAGTTCTGGGCAACAGTCACTGCAATCCTCAGGTTCGGGTTCAGGTTCAGGCCAGCCAATGGAGCTTTACAGGCCAGTCAATGGAGCTCCCAGGTCCATTACCCATCAACAGCAGATGGCGAATCAACAACAGATTACGAGGGGTGCAGGATTGGCAAGTCAAAGACCACCTCTTGGATTGACACAATCTGGTGGTGGGTCCCAGCTTGGAGCCCCTAGTAAAACGGTCAATGCAGACGCTGAAGAATCTTCTAGTAGGATTATAAGCAAGCGGAGTATTCAGGAGCTTGTAAACCAGGTGAAGATGTTTGCCTTATTTTCAAGTTTTGTCGATTCTGTGGATTATTTGGGTTCCTTGATAATTCCTGTGCTTTGGCTCTTTCCATGTAAGATTGAAAATTATTTGCAGCTTGCATGTGTAAATTTTGTTACGTTCCTTGTCTGGGGGCTACTTGTGTTGTCAGTTGCTCTCATTTTTGTTATTTATTGCGTGCATGTAAATGTCCGAAACTTTAAACCTTTTGTTTTGTGCTGGGTGTTTTAGCTAACAGATTGTTTCATGCTTTTGAACTATGTTTTTCAACTGAGTTAGTTAAAACTTCAAAAAAAAAAAAAAATGAAAGTGGGCATCAATTCGTTTAAGTTTGGCTGATGAAATATTACTTCTGGAATAATAATAGGTATCAGTTAGTGTTGGTTTTGGAATTCAGATTGTTGATGTCGTTGGTATATGATTGAGATGTTGAGGTCATTCAGATTAGAAAATCAAAAGGGTGGTAGTTATAATTGAATAGGAACTTTCCCAGACTTCCCTAGCTCAACACTTTCTTAATGTGCTAGACAAATATTCTATGTGCAAACAGGGCAAGAAGAGACAAATAGTGTGAACATAGCACGAATATTTTAATTGCTCCGTAGTACCTCGATCGTTGAGTGGAAAGAAAAGAAAAAGTGAACTAGGAGGCAGTTTGGCACGCTTCCATTTAACCACCTTTCCGTTTTACCCTCTAATAAAACAAGGGTACCTGTACTTGTTCCCACCTCTACATTCCTATTGCTCTTTGCATATAACAAAGTCTATTGGCTGGTTGGTTATTTCATTTAAACAAGGTTGCATGTATTTGTCCCCACCTCTACATTCCTATTGCCTTTTGAATATAACAAAGCCTAATGGCTGTTTGATTATATTAAGTGAG